CTTCTCTTTTTCTCAGCTCAGCCACTCACCACTGTCTTTGTTCATATTCTCCACTGCATGTAGATATTCATGACCCAGGACAAAGTCGTAATGGGCAGTGAGGATTAAACTCACAGTGAGCACTAAATCAACCTCGGTAGTCACACCCCGATCCTCTAGACTCAGCCTAACCCATACTGCTTTTGACTTTTTAATCAATTTATTTTCATGATGGGTAGAAAAGGATATGACAATTTAGTGCAAAATTAGGTCATGGTTAAATTTAAAAATGGAGTTTCTCTCTCTCTTTTTTTTTTTTTTTTCTAGAGAGAGATTTTTGTAATAGGGCACGTGTACTCTCTGGAAAGACAGAGAGACAGAAAGGGAGAAATCACTCCCCAGTGGTAAATGACCATGCTGCAATCCCTTCTCTTCCATTCTCCTCTTGGGATTTTGGGCATGCATACACACGCACCCGGCATAAGTTTTAAGCCCCCAGGTCCAGGGCTCAAATCAAGGTTGACTATGTGGGAGTCCAGTGACACAACCATTTTGCCATCTGCTGGTCGCTCTCTCTATGGTAAAGAATCAGTTTACTTTTATCCCTAAATTCTTTCTTCCTCTATCCAAATACAGAAAAACAATTTCATGATGGGAACATTTTAGAGTTAATGCACATCAATTGTGTCTAAGGTGCTCTCTCTTTTTTAATTTTTTTTTTTTTTAGAAAGATTTTTGTTATAGGGCATGTGTGCTTGCTGGAGAGGTCCAGGAGAGACAGTGAGAGAAAAAGAGAGAAATCACCTCCCGGGGGGATGGTCATGCGGCAATCCTTTCTCCTCTATTCTCCTCTTGGAATTCCGGGCATGAACACATGCTCACAAACATGCCTGGCATGATTTTGAAGCTGCCAGGTCCGGGATTCAAACCACAGTTAACTAAGTGAGAGTTCTGCAACATACCATTACACCATCTGCTGGTCCCAAGATATTCTTTCCAGGGTCAATAATGGACTTTTTAAATTGTCGTCTTTTGCTTATCCACACACTTAAACTGTACTACGGCAGTAGATAGCTCCCTGAGTATCAGATTTGACCTGCTGCAAGTGTATACTCTCCCTTTTCAACATAGCCATGTCCCCTGCACAGAAGTAATTCCAAAAAGTCCTTAATTGCTTCTTCATGTTAGCATTAGACTCTCCCTGAACTTTTATAGAGCATGTGGCTGCCAAGCTTACAACTATATTTTTTAGACTCCTAGTAGCCACATGACTGTGTCCTCCAATGGAATGATTGCAACTTCTATGGTAATTCTTTAAAAGAAAACTGCTGGCCTATCTGTGAACACGAGGAAGCCCTGTGAAATGTGTGAAACCATACAGGGGGCCTGGGCTGGGTTTCTGGACCAACCTAAACAAGCCAGGCATGGCGGTGTACACCTGTGGTCCCAGCTAACCAGGAGGCTGAGGCAGGAGCAGTGTGACAGAGAGATCCTGTCAAAAATACCTCTCCTCCACACACACACACACACACACACACACACACAAATACAAAGAGATTGCATGCCCCTCCATTGTGTCCTTTGCTATCTTCTGGCGCCAGAGGGGTTAATGGCTCACCAGCTACATTTATGCAAATGAGGGAAATAGTGTAGAAAATGGCAGAGCAAGGTGTAATGGTTATGTCATTGGACTCCCACACGGTCCACTGTGGTTCGAGTCCTGGACCTGGAAGCTTGAAACTCAGTCCAGGTGCGTGTGCATTCATGCCCAAAATCCCAAGAGGAGAATGGAGGAGAAAGGATTGCGGTGTGGTCATTATTCTCGGGGGGTGGGTGGGGGCGTGTGATTTCTCACTTCCTGTCTCTCTTTCTGGTGAGCGCACAAGAAAATGGCAGTATGATATGATGGAAGAAACACAGTGCTCAGAGGACTCATGGAACAAAGTCACCTAAACACTGGAGTTATTCCAGACTGTACAAGGCAGTAACCCACATCTCTGTCTGTGTGACTGTCCTGTTTGTGAGTTTCTCTGTCACACAGCTTAGTCTATCACTAAGGCACAAATGGGTATGTACTCGGTACTCACTGCATGTCAGGAATCACACTGGGGGCTGATAGGTGTCATGCCACCTGTTTCGCTAGCAGTCATCCTAAATAGGAGCCACTTGCTCACTTTACAGATGTGCAAATGACCTTAGAGAGACGAGGTGTCTTGCAAGGTTGCAGGACTGTAAGGGGTGGAAAGGACTTGAGATCAGCTCTGAAGTGACTGAGAAAAAACAGTTTCTTCATAGCTGCGGTCTAGTGTCTCTTTATCTTCCTAGTCAGTACTGTTCACTCTTATTCTACAGAGACTCTTCAAAATATTCTTCTTGAACATTTGATGTTTCAATCTGTTACACATTATAGCTCTGGAGTCCTTCTTTGCTCAGTTTGGTGACTCTTGCTCATGTTATCTTGCTTAAAAAGCATCTTTTTTTTTGTATTGTTCTTTGTTTTGAATAGGTTCATCCTGCCTTGATTGTTCAATTGAAAATCCCTCAGGGGATGGACAACAATTCAAAATAAATGACAGTTATATGTCTAAAGGGACAAAAACCATCTCCAGAATGACTCAATAGTCTCGTATATGATGTTTTTCTCACGGGTATACAAATTCTGTTGTTAATGAATCACTCTGGTGAAGCCCCCCCCACCCCATTTTAAATACATTTTCATGATAGCATATTTGAAAGCGGAAACACCTGAAAAGATGATTTTGAATAAGAATGATGTCATTTCCGTTATCTCTATAAATAAAAGCAGGTAGAATTTAAAATTTCAAGATTATACTTTAGTCAAATATTAGATTCATAATCATTCTACCATATATAAATATATTATTAAGTCTGCTGTGTAATAAAAGGAAATTTAAAATAGCAATCGCCTTAAATAATATATATTATTTATTTTTTCTAACATGAAAGAGGGCCTGGAGGTGGGCAGCTGAGAGCTGATTCGGTGACTTTTTGGTCATTGACAGCCCACATTCTTTCTAACTTTTTCTTCCAGAATCCTTGAAAAGGATTTCTATTTAAAGGTTCCCTCATGGCAAGTGAATGCCCTAGTAATAACAACCATCAGGTCAGAATTGTAGGTCGTAAGATGGGCAGAGCACAAGAGGCCTTTATCTGATAGTTTTTTCACAGGAGAGACTGAGAGGAAAAGTGAAAAATCTCCCCTGCCCCAGAGAGATGGCCACACTGCAATCTTTCTCATCCATTCTCCTCTCGGGATTTTGGACACACGCACACCCACCCACACACGTGCCAGGTGTGTTTTTCAAGTTGCTGGGTCTGAGCCTTGAACTTCGGTCAACCATGGGAAAATAGAATGCCTTAACCTCCTCATCATCTGCTGGCCCCTGACAATCTTCTTTTAGAGAGTATTTCTGGAATTTTCACTACAGGATCTGCCACGTCCACTCTTGGTCAGAACGTAGTTATTCCTACTTACATAGCTGCCTAAATGACCTTAAGGTTTTGTGTTCAGCTGAAGTCAAAGGAGAAGAATCTTTGCTGGACGGACTGGCTTGTCCTGCCATGCTGGATCTGGCAAACTATAGCCCATGGGTCAAATCTGCCTACGCCTGTATTTTGTAAATAAAGTTTTATTGAAATAAAACCATATCCGTTCATTCACCTATAGTTGATTTCAAACTGCCAAGAGTTGAGTAGAGATTATAGGGCTCACAAACCTAGAACATCTAGTACCTGGTCCTTTATAGAAAAGTTGGCAATCCTTGTTTTAGGTCACAGAGGGCAGTGTTTGAAGAATAGCTCCTTGGGATGCCTTTATGTGAGCAGAGCTGAGTTTGAGCTGGATTCAGTGGTCATCCATTCTTCTTCAGCCCCATGAGGATATGTGCTAGGCATGTGCTTGGCTGCAGGTAACACAGAATATGATGAGTGGTATATTAAAAGAAAAGGGGCCCCAGCTGTAGTGGGACACAGGTAATGCCATCACTTGAGAGTCTGGAAGTCACATGGCAGGCCTAGGCTTAGTTCTGGGGCCAAGCTGAATGTGCTGGGCATGGTTTTATGCATTTATCCTCTTGAAATATTAGAAGGCTGGGGCACGGGGACTGTGACACTGCAATATTCTCCCCAATACCTATCTTTGTCTCTGTCTCTTCCTCTCTCTCCATTTTCTCCCTTTCTCATGAAGGTAATGTTTTTATTTTTATTTTTATTTATTTTTTTTGAGAGGTTTTTGCTATAGGGCGCATGCACTCTCCAGAAAGACAAAGACAGACAGAGAGACAGAAAGCGAGAAATCACCCCCATGGGGGATGGCCACACCAGAATCCCTTCTCCTCCATTCTCCTCTCAGGATCTTGAGCACACACGTACACGCGCCTGGTGTGAGTTCAAGCCACCGGGTCCAGGACTCGAACCGTGGTTGACTACATGGGAGTCCAGCGACATAGTCATTACACTAACTGCTGGTCCCAAAGGTAATGTTTTTATTGAAAAGGAAAATTTTCATCACATAGGAAAAGGTCCAGAAGTGCATGGCCCGGGGCTGGTGCAGTTCTCAGCATTACCTTAAAAGCAGGGCTTTTTCTTTCTCCTGTGCTGGCTCTTTTCTCTCGATAGATGACTGCAGCATCTCAAGGCATGTCTGCATTCCACACGTGAAGAAGAGAAAGTGCAAAGAGCCACAGTGACAAGGGTCAGTCCCTTTTCAAGCACCTTCCCAAAGGTCCCAATTAACCGGGACTGTCACAACCACCTCTATCTGCTGAGGATTCTGGGATGGTGGGAACATCACGTTGGGCACCTTCCTGGGGCATGTTTGGTGGAGACTGTTGGAGAAGAGGAAGAAGGGAGATAGTCATGTGTGCCGTGCCGGCTCCTCACAGTTACCTGGACACACCTGTACAGTCTCACCTCCCTCCTGCCTTTCTCCTACCCTCCCCTGCCACAGTCTCCCAACTTAACTTCTCTTCTTTCCACCTTCCTCCCATGCTTTTGGCTAGGCGATAAACCTGGAAATGAGCCTGAAGAGGTGAAGCTGCAGAATGCCAGCAGACAGATTGTGCACAATGCCATCTTGCAAGCTGTGCGGCAAGTCTCCCAGGAGAGCCAACAGAGAGAAGAAAGAACCCGCGACGGCCGGGGCAGCCTCCAGCTGGGCGTGGGGGAGTTAACCAAGAAGCATGAGAAGAAGTAACACTGCGGACTTGGCTCTTGTCACATGCTTGGTTTCCAGTCCTCCTCTTAGCATAGGATGTGCCACCAAAATGTTACCAATAAAGCAAACCAAAGTGTCATTGACACCTAGCAGTAGAACGATTTGCACTAGGCCTGGGCTGAGAAGAGCTGTTTTGAAAAAGTGCATTAGACAATTCTGTTTATATTTATGCAGTGCCTCTGAAACATGAGTGGGGCCATGACACTAATTGCAAAAGTAGTTTTGCAGCACAGTTTATTTTGAAAGTTCTTTAAGAAAACAAAAACAAAACAAAGAATTCTAGGTCTTGTTTATTTACTTCCGCCTTTTATGCATTCTTCCTGTGAATTTAATCAGCAGCCTTTTTGGTTTTGGTTTTTTGTTTTGTTGTTGCTGAAATACTGAGTACAGTACTGTGTTCTTTATACGGTTTTGAAAAGACTTACTAGAAAGGTGTGGGAATGGTTTTAGTCACTTTCAAATAGGAAACAGAAGGCTTTTACGATGTAGATTCAGGCCAAGATCAAATTCAGCAAAGGAACATTACATCTGAAGACCGAGTCCCTGGGTCTTTGCAAGACATATTACTTCTGAAAAAGGAGGAGCTTAGGCTTTTCAAGGACTTAGTCTTTTAGCCTTGATTCTTTACATATTTTGGTAGTTGTTGTTTATGCTCTATGTAGAAATCCTTTGGGGATAGTATGGATTTGTATTTCCATCTCAAAGGTACAGTAAGACAAGGGAGTCTATAAGCATGCATTGACAGTGACTCAGTGTTTTAGCAGCCCCATGAAGAACAACTAGAATTGTAGATGCAGTAAACAGCTGTCCCTCCCGCGGATATGTACACTTAGCTCTGATTTTAGGGTGCAGCATCCTTGGAAGGAACTTTGGGACCTTAGACATGTGTCATCATTGGACTGCGGATTTACACTAGTACCTTTACCTTACTTATAGGAACTTTCCTCATTCACAAGTTAGATTTTTTTTAAAAAAAGATGATTAAAATCATAGGACCAGCAGATGGCATAGTGGTTACGTCACTGAACTCCTACATAGTTGACCATGGTTCAAGTCCCAGACCCAGTGACCTAAAACTCACTTCGGGTGCATGAGCATGCATGCCCAAAATCCTGAGAGGAGAATAGAGATGGGATTGTGGCATGGCCATCCCTCCTGGGGAGTGATTTCTCACTTTCTATCTCTCTCTGTCTCTCTGGGGAGCACATGCACCCTGTAGCAAAAATCTCTCTTAAACAATTATTAAAATCACATAAGTCAGGAATGAATAACACTTAAAATGGAAGAAAGCAATTTTAAAAACTAAGATATCAAAACACAGTGGGAGCAGCAGGGGACAGTGTTGTGAATGTAGTTACAGAGATACGTGTGTTCTGTGGGTGAATAAAGCCATCATTAGTGCAAAGGGGTGACTTCTTGCTCCCTGCCTGTGTGCACAATGTACCTCTTTCTGGGGTCCTTACAGTGTGGTTTCCTGGGTTTTGAACAGTTGCTGAATTAGTGTTATGGGAACAATAGAATCTGACTTGGTTAGAAACATTTTGGCTTCAGAGTACCAATGTCTACATTTAACATTTTTTTAAGGCAAAAGGGGTAGCATTTAAGTGTAACTGATACTAGGATACACTTCTAAAATTCCAATCTGTCACACTTTCCAGAATGGATATTATGGGTAAAAGGGGATGAATGAAAACAATCTCTTATCAGCTCTCTTAGGCTAGGGCCTACAGTACTCAGGTGGAATAAATTATTCATGAAGAGAATGGTGGGAAAGAAAGCAAAGGGAATTAAAATTTAAATGTTGTTTATTCATACTTTTTTTTTTTAAAGCAGAACTCAGGACAATTGAAGAGAGTTTACATTGATCTAAAGTCATAGAACTGATGTGATATAATTTTACACAGTATAGAAAGTGAGAATGAAGGTGTTCAGGGAAGTTATTCAGGAGTGCTCACAAGAAAAGAAAACAGAAAAAAAAAAAAGAAATCCAATGCTTATAGTTTGCTAGTCCTCTGGCATTATGTCTATAAATATGTCTGAGTATAAGAAGCCTTGATTTTTGCTATCATACGACAGAAACATATAAACATGCGATCTTTTCTGTCTAGTGTGTCTGTGCTAATAAACCGGGGATCTTTGGGACATCTTATTGACCTCTGTACCTAAATGTTATTTATAAATAAAATATATTCAGCTTTTAAATATGTTCATTTTTAGCAAGTGTTCTGTGCCCTGTAGTTTTGCTTATTTTCTTGTGGATCTTACCTTTAATTGGCACCATGAGGCTTTCCAAGGCTGTTTCTGAAACTAGCGGTCACAATAGGGAAAATCCTTCTTTAATGGGCTCTTCATTGGGACTGTCTGAGAAGAGTCATGGGATGGTGTTTTCTGAGGTTTGAATGGGAAAGAACATGGGATAAGAAGTGGACCTTTGACCTCAGGAAGAAAAGGTAAGTGGATCTGGAAGGTCAAGTGACATCATGATCTTTCTAAAATAACAAATGTACAACAAGGAAGAGAGAGATTGATAAAGTCTTGGAAAGATAAAAGGAAGTTAAGCACACACTGCTCTCAATGGGCAAGTGCCACTTGAGCAGAATCCTAAGAAAACTCAATCATGGGACAAGCAGGTGGCGTGGTGGTTAAGACACTGGATACTCCCATATGACCGACCACAGTTTGAGTCCCGGGCCTGATGGCTTGCTTTCTCACTCCTCCCACCCTGTGTTTCTCTCTCTGGTCAAATTAAAAACAAATAATAATAAGCGAATGAATAAATAAAATGAAGTAAACTGATCTTAAAAACAAAACAAAACAAAAAAACCCTCAGTCACAAAAATAAACACATCTGTTAAATTTTTCCTTACATCTCTCTTAGTACGAAGTTCTTGGGTTTTACAAGGTGCTTACAGAATGTCATTTGGCATAAGATTAAAGCAGGTTTCCATTAGGTTATTATCATAAACCAGCACACTGCTTCTAGTTTTAGAAATTAGCAGGAACATTTATTTAATGTCCTTTATCTTCCTAATTATGACAAAGTAAAACATTCATGGGCTGCTCAGCTCTGTGTGCTCAGCTGTTCATCTTTGCTTTGCCCGTCTCTAGGGTAAAACTAAAGAATTATTTTGTGTTATCGTTCTTTTTTGGTAATCATCTGCCCAGTGAAAACAGGATTGTAAATAGATACAAAACAACTAACGGGTCCCCGTGCTTCTTTCCTTCCTTCCTTCCTTCCTTCCTTCCTTCCTTTTTCTTTTTTGTCCTTTTTCTTTCTTTTTTGAGCCGCTTAGTCTCCCCCACCCCCCGCTTTTTTTAAGAGGTTTTTGCTATAGGGTGTGTGTGCTCGCCAGAGAGACAGAGGGAGACAGAGAGACAGAAAGCGAGAAATCACCCCCCAGGGAGGATGGCCACGCCACAATCCTTTTTCTTCCATTCTCCTCTCTGGATCTTGGGCATGCACGCACACGTGCCCGGCGTGAGTTTAAGCCACAGGGTCCAGGTCTCAAACTGCAGTCAACTAAATGGGAGTCCAGTGACATAGCCATTACGCTAAATGCTGGTCCCTAGTCTTCCCCTTTAATGGGACTTCAGGTTATAAAAGAATGAATCAATTATTTATAAATCATCGTGTGGGGAGGAGCAATTGGTCATTTTCAAAATTGTCTTAAGGTTTCTACAAATAAACAGGTATTTTATCCACTGTAATAATGGTTTTAGTCAAACACAGCAGAGACTGAACTTTCTGCAAAGCTGATAACAAGTTTAGCAACTATAATATCCAAACCAAGGTAAACAGGCAAGGGAACTGGAGGGAACCCAGCACTGAAGCCTGTTGACCTGCTTGTGGCTCACAAGTGTTGGTGGAAAGGAAAGGCAGCTTTAGTCAGGGAGCCAGCATGCTGGGAAGGTGGTGGACTAATGTCAAAAGGCCGTCTCCACAGTCCCGGTCTGACAAGGAGGAATTTTAAAGAAGCGGAGAGGAGTGGGGCTGTGACCGCTTTCGCATGACAGCTGTTCATCTTCTCCTTCACTGATTCCCTGGAGGAGACCTGATGTCAGGGTTATTTTCAGCTGCAGCTAAGTCAGCTAAACCGGGTTATCAGGGCAGAAGTTCTTTTCTTCCTCTAATACATCTGCTTTTGGGTTTCAATAAAACTAGGATCAGTTCTTGCAAGCTAAGTACTAAACAAGACCTATTGTGGCAAAGAAAAACAAAGCAAAAAAGAAGCTAAAGGCCGGTGACAGTATTTGAACCTTTGGTTTTGGATTTAATATGGAGTTACTTTGGTTCTTTGTAGCTTGGCTATATATATACTTGAGAAAATTCTTCAAATTACATGAAGAGAAAGTGGAAGTGACAATAATATCTTTCTTGAATGTGAAAAAATTGTGAAATAGATTAGCACACATGACCTCATTTATCCTTGCCACAATTTATCAATAAGATGTAGCCAGAGAACATCATATTCTCCTTTTATTTATTTATTTTTTGGCGAGGTTTTGGCTATAGGGTGCATGCACTCACCAGAAAGACAGAGAGAGACAGAGAGACAGAAAGTGAGAAATCACCCCCTGGGGGTGATGGTCACACCACAATCCCTTCTTCTCCATTCTCCTCTCAGGATCTTGGGCACACACACACAAGCGACCTGTGTGAGTTTAAGCCACAGGGTCTGGGAGTTGAACCGCGGTTGACTACATGGGAGTCCAGCAACGTAGCCATTATATCAACTGCTGGTCCCCATCACATTGCTTTTTTCCAGATAAAGTTTCACAGAATCTCAGAGAGGACAAATATGACCTAAGTGGAGAGGGGCCAGCAGATGGCATGGTGGTTAGGGCACTAGATTTCCACATGGCTGACTGTGTTTTGAGTCGCTAATCTGGTTGGTTTACTTTCTCACTTTCCCTCTCTTTCTCTTTATCTCTCTCTTTCTCTCTGGTGAGCACATGTGCCCTATAGCAAACCTAAAATAAACAAATAAATAAAATAAAGTTAAATAAATAAATTAAGAAAAAAATTTAAGAAAAGAAGAAAAGAAAGAAGGGAGGGAGGAGTAGGAAAAGATGGAAAAAGGGAAGGAAAAAGGAGAAAAGAGCATGTGTATAGGCATTTTCAAAAATTTCAAAGAATATATGTATTATGAAAAAATGATGCATGGATTTCAAATTTTTTGCACTAAAAAAAGCTCATTTTTCCATGAAAAATTTTGAAGTCCCCTCATATCAAAACACCTACACTGCATTCTTGGAAAATGAATACATAATATTTAATGATACTCCTAGAATAAAAGAAGAATTCTTGAAACTTCTAGGCCAAGAGCCAGTCATTTACAAAGGCAGATTTTCAGACTGGAATCAGACTACTTCGTAGTGACATTCAATCCCTTTACCATAACGAAGGAACTGCTACAAAGAAACTCTGAAGTAAGGACATCTCTCCCAGCTAAGATATCATTCCAAAATAAAGGCAAACATAAACAAAAGCAAAAACCCTAGAACTTAGAGCATGCAACATCCTTGTGTGAAAAAGACTGCTTTACCATGAACTTGACTGACATCCACTAAAACATGAATGGAGGACTTCAAGAGTGGAGAGGCTGTGGCAAGAGGACAGGTGAAGAGCGAGTGTTCCCGTAAGTATGAAGTGGGTATATCATTGGGAACACTATGGCTAAAAAGAATGTGTAACTTGTCATATCTTGACATATAAAACCTAACTTAAAAAATCAGGAGGTGGGGGCCAGAAGCTGGCATAGCAGTTATGTCATTGGATTCCCACATAGCCAACCGTGGTTCTAATCCTGGACCACAGTGGCTTAAAAATCACTCTGGGCACCTGTGGGTATGTGCCCAAGATCCTGGAAGGAGAATGGAAGAGAAGAGATCGCAGCATGGCCACTCCCCCATGGGGGGTGATTTCTCACTTTCCCTTTCACTGCCCATGTCTCTACAGTGAGCACACATGCCCTAAGGCAAAAACCTAAAGCGGA